CTCTCTCGGAGCTCTCCATCTCGTCTCGATAGTTTCACTGTATATATGCTTGTATCATATGTTTCTCTCTATTGTGATTACTTTGAGTGACCTCCAGTACCTGCAAGTGTCTTTGTATACGAGTTTTTGTTTATTTTCTTCTCAATTCTTGAGGCAGAGGCTACCAGATGGCACCGTGTGGCCCAGAAAAGTTTGAGTGATGGCCAAGGTCAGCCGAAGAGCGTGCGATGACGCCAAGACCTCACGATGGACGAAAGCTGGTCAGCCGCTAAATATAGAGCGCGATGCGCAAAAGAGACGGGCTTGAACGCACTGACGCCATGCCGAAATTTAAGGAATAAGTTGCAGAGCTCGTTCGTTTGGCGGGAATAAGTGAAATAAGTAGTGCCGAACTTAACATTTACAGAAAATTTACTGAAGAAGCTGCTTGCGATCAAAGTCCTGTAAATTTTTTGTAAGCGAAATGAGTCCGAGATGTGTATCGGACAGTGCCACAGGCCCGCAATAAGCGAAGTTCTTGGGACGTTTCGCTCCTCTCTCGTGCCGCGAGATCGCCACCTCGATAGAAGTTATTTTTTTGGGCGCCTGCGGCGCGTTCGATACTCAGAACATCCTTTGGGTGACCATTTTTCGTGCCTGCGGCGCCCGCAATGAGAAAGTGCCACAGGCCCACACACAACTGAAAGCGGCTACTGCAGTGCCACCCAAAGCCTTGCCAAAGCCGCACACATACGAGAACTTACAAAAATTTATTTATATCTGTGTATGCACCTAGATACTCTGTTTGTCGGAACCACACTCCCGACCCTCGAATCGTGCTCTCAAGGGATGGCGAGAACGATGTCTGCGCTGCGACGGACGTGTACCCAGAACCCGGCTGAGCGACCTCATCTCGTTTCACTCCGGACATCCATCGCTTAGGTAGTCGGCACGTCCTCGATCACCCGCGGCCATTTACTGGAATTTACAGGCAAGTGTAAATTTCTCTGATTATACTGACTTATCTGGCCCGCGACCGGTCCGTAAACCCTTTGTCCCGCAGGTTTTTTGAACCATTGCTCTGCTAGACAGTTCCCCATGTCGACTCCTAACCTTGCTCCCCTCGCTGAAGCTTTCTGGATTAAATCTGGCCGTCACCGTCGTGATAACACTTGGGGATGCGGACGGTACTCAGCACCAGTGAGGATGTGAGTATCAAGAAGAGGAACTGTATACACTGCTTATCCAAGGTGTGTGCTTTATTCTATTACAGACGGAATATGGACATACCCACAGAGCCAAATGCTCTATATGCGGCGTATACCCTTTGTCCTATGTATGGCTACGAAGAGGTCATATCGGACGATATATCGATGTACTCTGTCTCCCGGCACGAGACCATCCGTCCTGTTGCTCCTGTTACTCGAAGTGAGTGGCAGAGTGCATATCGTGGTGCAAGACGTTCTGCCTAGACCGCTTTGCGTATGCTATGGGTATTCTCATGGCGGTGATCAGCCGGATTCGTGCCAAAGAAAAACGGCTCTCGTGAGCCTGTCTAATCTGCTTGTCATTCTTGCTGCTACTCATCGCCGTCTTCGAAGCTGAGGTGACACAACGCTGCATTCACCCGAATAGTGCCTTCAAGGGATTCTGTGCCGACTGCAGCCCTCGCGAATTTTTCTGTTGTGATTTGGCGGAGGACGCAGAGTCGCTAAATCAGAAATGATGGTGTCTGAATTGTGTGAGGCTCACGAACCCGGTGTGCCCGACGTTTGGCGAGGCGACATGTCCGCATACTGGGGATATCTACCATTAGTGTCCCCAAGACCGGAAAACCGACAGATGTCGGATTTGTGTATAGTAGCTCGGCGGCGGAGACTACAGCAGAGATGAAGAGCCACTTGAAAACGACGATCATCACGATGAGCCACATTTCTTCCCAAGGATGACGGAAGTTACCTCGATTCCTTCTCAGTTTGCATCCGCCCTATCTACAGGCCCCACGGGAACACCCCGCCTCATCACTTATACACATTTGGTTCGGGCCCGCCAGCTGCGAACGCTATCCCTACGAACTTCCAGACCCAAACACATCTCGTCTCTGTCGCCCCCGCCACATCACCGAATTCAAATATCCAAAATCAACCAAAATCTCGCTGTCCTACCTGCCCCAAACCATACCCCGAGGACTACAGGGGTGCCGTGAAACATCGCGAGATATGCGATGAGCTGTATCGTGAGGCTTTTTTGAGGATTCGGTGTGTCCTGGGGTGGGGTGTCCGACGCGTGATGGAACGTCAGATTGAAGTTCGTAGTTCGGGTTTGGGTAATGACGAGTCGAATACTTGTGTCGGAATCTGTCGGCATGATGGTGTGGTAAGAGTAATGGATCAGGGCGGTCAATTTCCTCGTCGATCGTGTGGAACCAAGGTTCACTCAATCAAGTCATCCACGAGTAGTAATACAATGGTCAACGCCCTAGCTCACGCACCTTGTTATCGATCGTCACCGGGGCTTCGGAGAATTTGAGAAGACTCATGCGGGCCCAGTGATACACGAAAGTCATTCTGAGTAGAACGATGTAACCCGAACGCTCAGGAACTTGTCTTTCGAGTCACAAAAAGACAATAGCGTACGTACACCAAACGCCTCGACTGGGGCCTTTGTGTTCTCGGCAGATAGTTTACCGCGCTTCTGATCGTGTTATTTCAACACAATGACGTCGAGAATAGAAAGAATTTCACTGGCCCTGACGCTCTTTCAAAGCTTTATGTAAAATTTCCTTTCTGGGCTGTTCCTTTGTTGCTCTGACATGTATAAGACATGCGACTGCGCTGGTTGATCGCACATCTCCCTCTTCCGCCTCTACCCCTCAATCCTCGAGAGCCCAAGAAATGACCGAAAACATTCCTCCTTACCTTCAATGTCCCCACCCCCACTCCGTACGCAAAAACTTCAGGCTGCGGTGCCACAACGTGCGCTGTCCGAACCGCCACCCTGATAGCGACTTGGACAACAACACCTTCGACCACAGTTTCTGCTTCGACTGCGCCCAGGAAGGAGCATTCTGCTCCGCCCCAAACAAACTGCGCCATCGCGATGGACATAATCCTGGCTTTTTATGGCAGGAAGTACTGGAGTGGTGGTGCCCTACTTGCGCACCGAAGTTCGCGAATCAACAGTGCCCAACGTGTGCCGAGGTAGTCTGTCCAAGGGATATACGTCATCAATGCAGGGCTTGTGGGAGGATTGATACCTGCGTGAAATGCGACCAGAAATACAGAGGTACGCACCGTGATATTTCTAAAACTGACCAAGATAGATAACTCGCATCAATTAGGCTCCGGTCAATCCAGGACCCCTCTCATCATCACGTATCCAATCTTTGATTGCGAATGCTGCGGAGGCGCTCCCTATGAATTGTACCCGATCATCGAACGTCTCTGCCACGAATGCCGCCATAATAAGCCTGATCCATCATCTTACTGTTGCCCTATTTGCACCTGTCGCTGTTGCGAGGCTTGCCTCAAACCTGGTAAGGTATGCGGTAGTTGTGGAAGTAGACCGTGTATGGGCTGCGTAAAAGATCGGCGGTTCAAGGGTGCGTGTCCGAATTGCAGGCATGCGTTGGTGCCGGTTCTACCTGAGATGAACGACGACAACACGTTCTAGTCGGACGATAAATAGGGTGGAGGCCCGGGCCTTTGGGCTGGCATGGGATTATATAGGGTTAAGAGAGATCCACGTCGTAGGTAGGTGTTTTTGAACATCAAAATTGGAGTAGCACGTAGCAATGGGGTGTAATTTGTGGTGTGATAGAATGATTCAGAGATGTGAACCAAGGATGACTAGAACCATGACGGTCGTTGGCAGGAAGAATACACATGGCAAGAGATAGTCTCGAAGACGGTTGAATACAGCCCTCGGGGGCTAGAAATGGTCTGTAAGGTCATTTTGAGCGCTATGCCACTGTGTATCATTCTTCTGAGTCTGAAAAAGAGTTTCAGTCGTCCGATTATAAGTTACGCCATGAGAGCAAATCACTCACTTCGAAACTTCGCATCGCGATGGCGTTTCACAAATAGTTTGACCTCCTCAGGACTCAGCGCTTCGCCTCCACACACCTCGCACTTGTCTCCCTTGAAGATTGTAATATCCTCCGGCTCCGGCAGATCTTCTTCATCCCATTCGTTGCAGAATTCTTCATCACCAACGCACTTCGTACAGCTCTCGATCTTGCCGCAGGTCTTGCATTGGTTACGAATGAAGCGCAAGTTCTTGCACGTCTCGCACTTGCATGACGGGCATACAGGGTTGGCAAAACGGACGCAACTGGTGCACCACCATTCGGGTGGGTTGGTATAACCCATTGAGTGGTAATCGGACCCTTCCGAGACCAGACAGCATGCGGCGTAGTCGGCCTATATAAATTGTTTCATTGTTTCTCCTTCCTGCGGTCTAGCAGAGCAATTTGCACACTTGATATACATATTTCTGTGGGGAGACGAGGACATATATGAAGCGGTACGAATGAGCTAGGAGAGTCTTGATAGACAACGGACGGGTAGTGTAACTTACCTCCCATTGGCTTATAGTGTGACGAGACTCGAGAGGAAATAATAGGTTTGGCGAGGTCCCAAGGGAAGAGAGTACAACAGTCGAATGTTCTTGGGTTGGAAGTGTTTGGTGAACGGGCTCGCTTAAAGACAGGAGGGCAAGATCCTCAGACTATATAAATTTTCAATCCGAGACATCCCCAGGTTTCAGTTGTGAGCTTGTGGCGGTGGCGGTGGCCCATGGCTCGTCCATTCATAAAGAACGCAGCTAGTTGAAGAATAAAAATACATGGCTCTTTGAATTCATGAGCGGCGTTATACTTGACGTTACATGTTTCGTCACCATCCGTTGTCCTCTTCATCGAGACTACTATCATATTGAGCTCGTTGTTCCGGGTCCGACAGGACCGCGTACGCCGCCACAACAAGCTTGAACTTCTCCGCGTTGCCACCCTATAGTCCGACAGACAGTACAGTGAGTAAAACGATATACGTAGGCGTGTTAAGCGTAGTACGCAATGTCCTACCTTGTCTGGATGATGTTTGAGACTCTCTCTTCTGAAAGCTTTCTTGATGTCAGCTTCTTGACACGTTCGACTAATTCCTATAGGTGTCAATGATCAGTGCAGATCGTGAACCAACATACATAGATACTGAACTAACCCAAGATCACATAGTGGTTGTGCTTCAGCGTTCTAGCGTACTCAGCCTGAGATTCGACGCTCGACAAGTCCTCACGCAATTCCTCCTTGAGCGTCTCGTTCGTTGTCAGCTCGATCGCATTCGTGAGATCGTCAATCGCAGCGTCATAGTTCTCACCAAGCCCGTGGAGACGAGCTCGTATACGGAGAGACGTAGCCAAGTTATTGAGCTTGAGAGATGCTTGTATGTCAATCATGGCTTCTTTGTTACGCCCAAGCTGAAGCAGAGAAGCACCAGTCAGAATCGAGCACAAAACATGGTCAGAAGGGAATCTACCGACTTTTTCATGGGCCATAGCCCTTTCGGATAGCACGATAGCCCGGATACGGCCTCCATGACCCTCTCTAGGATTTTCTTCTATAATCTAGTTCAGAGGGCCGTCAGATCCCGTCGCCTCGTAAGGACGAAGCCATGGGCTGTACCTTCAAAGCTTCTGAATATTTCTCAGCTGCGTCCGTCCACATTTCTTGTTCTGTAAAGCTTAAACCCTCATTCTTCAATAGAGCGACAGCCTTGATGCGCTTGCGAAGAGATTTTGCAGCATGATTGTCCGGATCGAGGCGCAAAGCATCGAGGGCATTCGTGTTGGCCTGTATCAGCTCGCCGGACAAGAAGGCTGCTAGCGCGTGAAGGTCGGCGAGGTCTGCGGACGTGGGATGATCTGTCACAGCGGCCCTATTATGGAAGTGAGCCATTTTCAGAGCAAAACGCGGTAGTGGTTATTCGAGGGGATGCACGGAGGGACATACTTTGCCGAATTGTGCGCCCCGTCCCATTTACCTCTCCCAATCTGGACCTCAATCCCCCAGCCACGCCAGTCTAGAGGGATTTCGCCCTTCTCGTTATTGATAGCCGTTAAGCAGCTCTGATACGACGCCTCAGCCGCTCCCCATAGGTTGCGAGACCGCGCGGCTTCGAACTCTTGAAGATATTTGCTCAATTTGAGTGCCTTCGTCTGGAAGTTTATGGCCATGTCGTTCTCTGAATCCGAGCTGAGTGCCTGTTGAAGGGCCGTCAAAGCGGGAACCGGAGCCCCCAGGGCGTAATGACAGCGGCCAAGGCGCGTGAGGGATTTCGAGCTCGCGTCCTTTCCTTGTAGAGAGACTGTTTTTTGACAATCGGTCAGAGCCAAATGGTATTGTTTGAGAGCGATGTGTGCTGCTGCGCGATTGGTGTAGTATACTCCGTTTTGGTCATCTAGCACTAGTCACCCATATGTGAGATTTTTCAGATGCGGAAGAAAAAAACGAGGCTTACATATGGCCTGGGTATAGCACTTGATGGCATTGGCGAAATTCTCCTCCTTCATCGCTTGGTTTCCTTGCAGCCCGAAATGTTTGGCTGCTATCTCATTCTCTGCGGGAGCTCTAGGCTTTGGCGACCTAGCGCATAGTATAAGACACAGATGGCAATGAAGATTCGAAGGAGCTTACGGTGGTGGAGATGTATAGCCGCTCGAGGGCGTAGTGTCGGGTTGTGGTGCGGGTTTTGGTACATCGGGCTCGGGATCAGGGGAGGGTTCTGGCTCGGTATCTCTACCGGTTGATATGTGCACAATCAGATGACAAGCCGATTTAAGGAGGTGAGAGGACTCACTGAGTCGATGACGATGACCTGGTGCGGTTCCCATCGCTTCGAAGGCTGTTACTCAAGGTCCAGATGGTTTGAGAATGAGTAGACTTACGAGCTCGATGAGGTGCTGTAGTTGCTTGAAGGAACGTCCTTGGACTCAGACTGCGGAGGCCGCTGATCCTGTTTTGACCTGGCATTGCACTTCCTGTGGGACCATGAGACCGATATGACAGGACCAACAAGACGACTCCTCACCAGGTCGTGTGCCAGATACTACCACAATTCTCGCATGTCTTTTCCTTCTTAGGCTTGTCATAAGAAAATTCACTGCTTCGTGGCCGCATGTTGGATCTCCACGATGGAGCTGCGTTGTTATTATCACCTCCACATACACTGTCACCGCTAGACATCAGTATCATGATGCTCAGGGAAGGTTCATACACTCACTTCGGCGGGTGGTTTCGGCTACCACATTTACTACACTTGCGTCTCCCTATCATAAGGGGTTCGTCCACGTAGCGATAGAAATATGTGGCCGAGGAAACGTACATGGTCCTGGACGTGCTTCTTCGGGAGGCATTTCACATTCCGAGGCGATGTGTCCTGGTGCGCTGCATTTCTGGAGTGTCGAATTCGGTAAGCAAGTAACACAGATAGTCTGCATACGTCGAAGACCTACATGACATATCTTCGTCGGACAAACATCTCGACTATGTCCTATTCCGTGGCATACTGTGCACTGTTTCTGAGGACATTCCATTGCCAGATGGCCTGCTCGTTTGCACTTGAAGCAGACTCGACCTCCATAGGGGCAACGGTTGGCGTTGTGATCATCTGAAGAATAGTCGGAACGACGTTGGCGATCCAAACGAATGTGACCATAAACAAACCCGAATGCGCACCTTCGCCACATTTGAAGCAAACCATCTGAGAAAGTTGATGAGAAGGCCCACTAGCGGCGCGAGAGGCCCTGAGAATGTGGAGGCCTTTTCAGAGATGCAAGAAGCGCCCCACGGCTCGTTGACCAGCTGCGTTTGGGTTCTAAGCGCTGACGCCACCATAATTCGGGTTGGCGCCCGTGGCCAGTATACTTGACGAAGGACCAAGGCGAAGCAAAGTCAGAGAGGAAAAGAACGTTGGTTCTGTATTACGAGGAGAGAGCGGGCACTACACTAAACACAGGTGACCGTTACCTCTCCCACACTGTCTGGTAGATTTATGATGTTCTTTGACAGTCTGAGCAAGAAAAGTGCACCAGACCGTAAAATCCTCTGCGGCACAACCAAGCAGACAGCAAACGTTTCCAAGTCGCAGAAACGTTATCCTGTATACGGTCCATCAGCAGCAGTTTCCGACGCTCTCGGGGAGCCCATGACATCGGGGACTTTCACCCTCCCGGCAATGGGATCGGGGCGCATAACAAAGAATATGCGTTACAAGATGCACTGATCGCGAAATTCGAACCCGTCACATGGAGTAGAACATGTTGGACTTTGAAGAGCCATAGTACACAGAGGACAGAATATGATGATGGAGTCGGTCTGAGATGCGAATATTGCATTGGAAGAAGAGCGTCGAAGCCAGCTGAGACCAATATTCGCGTCACCCGAAACAGACCACTCAGAGAATCATCACGAGTGCTCCACGTGTCGCTCATTCTGCTTCTGTATCAGAATGTTAAGTCAGTATAATCAGAGAAATTTACGGTTGGTCGTAAATGCCAGTAAATGGCCGCGGGTGATCGAGGAGATGCCGACCATGTAAGCGACGGATGTCCGGAGGGAACGACGAGATGAAGTCGCTCAGCCGGATTCTGGGTTGCGTCCATGGGAGTGCGGATTTCGTTCTCGCCCACCCTCGAGAGCACACCTCAACGGTTTGGAAGGTAGGTCCGAGAAGCAGACTATTTAAATGTATATACAAATATAAATATTTTCGTGGTTCTCGTATGTGTGCGGTCTTGGACGCTGGGTGGTCCAATTTTGGTTATGTGGCACTTGCGCGTTGCAGGCGCCGCAGGCGCGAGAAAATGACCACACAAGGGCTACTCTGAGCATTGAACGCGCCGCAGGCACCAAAAAATGGTCACTTCCGATGAGAGAGCGATTGCGCGGTGCGAGAGGGTCACAAAACCTCCCGAGAACGCTTTTTGCGGGCCTTCCCACTGTCCGATACGCATCTCGGACTGATCTCGCCTACAAAAAATTTACAGGACTTTGATCGCAAGCAGCTTCTTCAGTAAATTTTCTGTAAACGTTAAGTTCGGCACGTA